CCTGTCTGGGGCTCCGCGCCCTCCCGGTTCAGCCTCCCTGCGCCCTGGGTCGTGCCATCCCACCCGCCTGGTTAATTTCCTGTCTGGCGAGCAGGAGCGAGACACCAACCACATGACGACGGCCGCCACGCGCGATCGCAGACGTGGGAGACAGGGCCCGTCCCTCGCGGGACCTCCGTTCACCCCAGACCACGCGAGCAGCGAGCGGCACTCACAGAAGCCGAATCACCCCGCGGGTGGGGGCCCATCCTCCCTCCGAGGTTCCTGGTTCCACCGGCACAGAACTGCGGGCCCGGCACACCTGGGGGCCTTATCTCCTGGCGGCTTGCGGTTTTTGTGTTTGTTTTTTTAAAAAACAGTTTTACTGATTTCAGAGAGGATAACATCAATGAGAGAGAATTGTCAATTGGCCGCCTCCTGCACGCCCCCTACTGGGGATGGAGCCCGCAACCCGGGCATGTGCCCTGACGGGGAATCGAACTCCAGACCCTTCAGTCTGCAGGCCGCACTCTATCCACTGAGCCAAACCAGCTAGGGCTGCACCTGAACTTCTAAAACGGTAAACACATTAGCAACAAATGTAACATAGACGGAGAAAGTTATTTTGGAAAATGAGCCAGGGGCTTTCGGTTCTGGTTCCTGGGCACACGTTCATATCTAGATGCAGCCATAACAACCTTTTGGTCAATGGCAGACCACACACAGGACTGTGGTCCCTAAGATTACAATTGTGGACGGAAGGGGCCACATGCTGACCTGACCAGCTCAGGGGAGGCCTGCATGCCGGTCTTGCAAACTCAGACCTAAAGTCACCACAAAGGATGGTCTGAAATTAAACTTTAACTAAAGCAGTGATGGTGGGCAGTTACATCCTAGGCCGGTATCTTCACTGACAAGGTCAACCTTTACGTTAACTGAGCCTATCTGTCTTTTTGCATCTATGATAACATACCCTTGAAATGTCTGGGTAACTTGTAACTTCCCTTTTTTTCTGGAGCCCCTGGGGCACCGCCAAATGTGCTGAGAGCCAGGACAGATGCCACAAATTCCTTCATTATCATGTTAATTGATTTTGCACCCACCTAAGTGTGTGTCCATCATTTCACTTTTTATCCAATCCCAGGGGTTTCCCAGTTTTGCTTTATCCCTCCTCCTTAGTCTGTCACCAATGAATTTCATGTAACCCACCTACGTCCCTTCCTTTGATTGCCATGTATAAATACAGATGTCCCCCGCCATTCTCCGGAGCATTATCTCAATTCCTTGAGGTTCTGCTTCCCGGCATATGTCGACAGTTTGGCTCAAATAAACTCACAAAAATTCTTTACAGGTTTCAGTGGTTTTTATATTAACACAATGGAGCTAAAAACTCCCATCACCTAGCGACACTGTCGCTGTCCCGATGGCGCCAACGCGTTACTCACGGGCTGGTGGTGACGGTGTAAACCAGCCCACTGCGCTGCCCACCGGGTAAAGTATTCAGACCTGACTGTGTACAGGATTGGTAATACGTGACGTGTCGCTGGCTTAGGTATTTCCTGTACTACAATTTGATCATGACATTCGATGTATTCTTTCTAAAGTTTGCTGTAAACAGCAGCCATGTTACTCTCTATTGCTTGATTTAATCTCATGCTGTTTTGTAGCCAGGACAACAGGCCAGGAGCAGTAGCCCAGCAGTAACAGGCCAGGAGCAATAACCCAGGAGCAATAACCCAGGAGCAACAGCCCAGGAGCAATAGCTCAGGAGTAACAGGCTAGACCAGTGGTCGGCAAACTCATTAGTCAACAGAGCCAAATACCAACAGGACAACGATTGAAATTTCCTTTGAAAGCCAAATTTTTAAAACTTAAACTATATGGGTAGGTACATTGTTATTAACTTAATTAGGGTGCTCCTAAGGCTTAGGAAGAGCCACACTCAAGGGGCCAAAGAGCCGCATGTGGCTCGCGAGCTGCAGTTTGCCGACCACGGGGCTAGAGCACACGGCCTCGGTGTGCAGCGGGCTAGACCTCCTAAGCCTGTGCGACTGCCTCCATGAGGTTCGCACACGACAAAACCACCTAATGACACGTTGGCTGAGAACATATCCCCGTCGTTAAATGGTGCGTGACTGTACGTGGAAACTGTCCCTTCTGCTCCGTTTCTCTGTAAATCCAAACCTGCCCTAAAATAGTGTTACTTCATATTAAACATGAATTCACGCACAAAGGAGGAAGATAGGAGACAGTAGCACACAAGAAAAGTTAACACACGGGCCCAGCCAGCGTGGCTCAGTGGTTGAGCATCGACCTATGAACCAGGAGGTCACGGTTCGATTCCCATCAGGGCACAGGCCCGGGTTGCGGCCTTGATCCCAGTAGGGGGAGTGCAGGAGGCTGCGGATCAGTGATTCTGTCTCATCATTGATGTTTCTATCCCTCTCTCCCTCTCCCTTCTTCTCTGAAGTTAATAAGAAAATATATTTTTAAAGCCCACATATGGGAAACTAGGAGAGCCAGTGGAGGAATGGTAATGGACTTACCAGACCAGGGAAAGACGACGTCTGAGCCAGAGGGGAGAAAGCAAAAAACAGCGAGCTGATGTCTGTGGCAGAACCCACCACAAAGCTCGGGAACTAGACACAAAGGGTCTGAACGCAAATAACTTCCTCCTGGGAAACATGGACACCCCAGAAACACTGACAGGTGAGGAAACTCCATCCTAAAAAGCCAGGGACCGGAAGAAACCAACCCCGACGAGGAACGAAGAGCGTGGGGATCGAAAGAAAACTTATCTTTTTTAAGCGAGAAACATCTAACAGGTGTTTATTTCTTTTTAGAGAGAGAGTGGAAGGGAGGGGGAGAGACAGAGAGAGAGAGAAATGACCAGGGCCGGGATGGAGCCCACAACCCGGACATGTGCCCTGACCGGGAATTGAACGGTGACCTCCTGGTTCATAGGTCAGCGCTCAACCACTGAGCCACACTGGCCGGGCATGGTCAAGCCGTTCTCAGAGGCATGTAAAAGGATGCTGGTCCTCCCACCCGCCCCTGAACCCCACTCCATTCCCCAGCTTTGCTCCCCGAATGTTTCTAGACGTGAGGTAGGCGGACTCGGAGGCTTTTGAATTCTGAATTCTGGCTCATTCTAACCGAGTCGCTCCGGGGGTCCAGAAGTCTTGAAACAATTGTCTCCTCTCTCCAAGAGACAACGGGCTCGCTTTCTGAGAGCCCCCGGTACCCCGGGCTGTCTAGCTAGGAACCCCCTTAGCCAGCCAACAACCCCTCTGACGAACAGGAAATCTACAAACAAGCCACATCGATCTGGGTGAGTGTGACTAGGGATAAGCAGACAGCCGGGACTCCCCAAAGGTGACCTGGGGGGAAAGTACTTTTAAAAGCTGCCCACTTCCTGGCTTTCTCTCCAGTGATGACTGTGAGGTTGCGTTGCATCCTCTGTTACCGTTTTAGTCACTTAGGGCTTTTGCTCTGTTGTCACTATTGTTATTGCTCTCTGAAGAAGGACTACCTCGAGCCACCTGGTTTAACTCCTAGTTAAAGTGGATGCTTTCCATCCAATGGCATGAGAATGGTTTCAAACACGCTGAGCGCTTTCAATGTCTTTTCTCGTTTAGTTCTCAAGACGTGTGATGTCGGTGCTTCTGTTATCTCCGTTATTTAGGTAGGCCACACAGCAACACCACAGAGAAGGTCTGGTTTCAAGAGGTCGTGGTATTTCTATTTATCCCCAAATCCAATATGCTGCTTAAATAATAATAATAAT